AAAAGCTTTGTTAACGTATTTGGACTGGGCAACCTGATATGTCCCTATTTCAATGTTATACTTGAAAAACGCATTCCGCGTCGATTTCAGTAGATGTGGCACATCAAATAATGTTATAATTTTATCCCGGTTAGCATAAAAGTACGGTTCATATTTTTTTTTAGTTGTTTCTGCACATAATTGTTTTATTGCAGATCGATTGGTAGACCCCTGATCACAACAAGTGGCTAGCACATTGCACGCAACAGCTTGCAAAGCACTAACAACTTCAGTGATTAAGCATTTTAAGTCAGCCGCATTGGTGCAGTCTTTAACAAAATAATATGAAACTGGTTGTTTCCAAGCAGTCTTTAATCCATGTGCCAGAAATACAAGCGCATGATTGGCAAACTCATTCCGTCTTCCCAACTTTTTGCCCAAGTCTACATATCCCACAACTTTATCCTCAGATGGATTAAAAACTGGTTGTTGTGACAACGAAATTTCGTCAAAACAAAGAATGCAATTTCTATCTAAATTATCCATTGATTCTGACTTTTTTTTTAGATTTTCCAGCTACTGGTCATTAATGCCCGGTTCAAATTTTAAATTTTTGAGAGTTCTATTTATAGTAGCTCGAGAAGGTAATGGTAAAAATCGTTTTAACAGTCTATAACATTTTGGACCCTTTTTAAAAATATTTAAAGCAAACACTTTATCTCGTATCGACCAGGAAGGCTTTTTCATTTTTGAATTTAAAATTACATTTTTTATAAATTGGAACCCTATTCCTCGGTCATCCATATACCTAAGTAACTTGTTAGCAGACGACTCTTTACTTTTTGATATGAACAAAGCTTTGCGTATTTTAGATATTTGGTTTTTCTGGCGTAGTGCAAGTTTGTAAAGTAAGCGTTTTCTTGGACTCAAATTTTTAGATCTGGTCTCAGATATGGAATTTAATATGCCAGTAGCGCCTTTTTGTTTTTTGGAAATTTGAATTATTTCATCTTTGACATTTTTTCTTTTTTTTGACATTGAAACCTCAATTTCGCTATTATTTATAATAGGTGTGTTTGTATGGCCGTTTTCTAATAGATCAGAGTTATTTGATGTAGAATTCAGATTTGATTGTGTTAGAATATTGTGAAGTATTTTAATTTTTTGTGTTTGATGGATGGGTAATGCATTTCTAAATAATGTTTTTTTTGCATCACCGTGAAACCACTTTTCTTCAAAATGATCCTCACACAAGTAACATCTACTTGATTTATATTGCACATTAATAATATTAAACCATTTCTGTCTCTTTTCTTTATCATCCGGAAATTTAAAAAAACTTTTATTTTGATAGCTTAGATCAGTAATTGGGAAAAAATATATACTTTGACATGTGGGTATTACACATTTATACTTGTAACAACCGGGTGGAGCCATAATGTTTAAAACCACAACACACTTTCACATTACCTTAAATAATGATTGAAAACGAGAAACATTAATTCTTTCACCTAACATCTATGTTCTTAATCCTATTATACACTCTGCATCGGATTTTTTTGGCTTGCGTTTTAATTTACGATATAGACTAGCTCATAGAAGCTGCAACAAAAGTGTAATGTTAATAAATTATCTATGCCGTTGTAGTGTAAAAACTTACCTTCATATTTTAACTAATATTCATATTCGCTTCATTTATGATGGACCGACCGGACTTTCTTGGACAACTTTGTTTTTTTTTTTTTTTGTAATGTAGTAACCTAAAAATTGAGTAACAAATTACTATTGTTGTATAGAAATTCAAATAATAAGACAGTTGATTCCACAACTTGCCAAATTATACGTACCTTATTTATTTCTATTTAATCCAATATCAACAACAATAATTCATATAAACTAACACAGGTTACGATGTTATTGTTATAGGTTATAACTTGTTGTCGTTAAATTCAAATAAGCGATTGCGCACTATGTGTGTTTTGTTCTTTTCTCATTTTATTCACGGTACACTCCGTCTTACGGCGCGACTGGGTTGCGCCAGGGCCGGCTCTAAGGGACCAGGCGCCCCGATGCAAACTTACTGTTCAACGCCCTTAAAAAAAAAATTGTAAAAAAAAACAAATAAAGTTTTGTAATCACATATTTTTGTAGAGAGATACTTTTTATTAACAAGCATGCATAAAATTATGATGAATCAATCTTAATATATAAAAGTGTTTGTCTTAACTGACAGACTGACTGATTCATCAACGCAAAGCCTAAACTACTGAAGCTACAAACATGAAATTTGGACAGTAGGTTACTTTTGTGTCATAAGCACCCACTAAGAAAAGATTTCTGGAAATTCCACCTCTACGGGGACAAAATAGGGGTTGAAACTTTGTGCAGAAATGCCGTGAGTTTTTAAGTCAGACGGGTTCACCGGGGAGGGAGGAGTGAACGAGATGAAAAATGATAATTTCGGAGGCTTGCACGGTCGGAATCAATACATGATCGTTTTCCGGGTTGGAACCGTGTAATTTCTCAAAAGAGTTTGGCCTCTGGTATGGTTGACATACTGAGTTACCGTGGTCTTTTGTCTTATTCTTAACCCTGCTCCTGAAGATGCCACTTACGAAAGTGTGCGAAACGTTGAGCCCAAAAACCCAATTTACACGGTTCCAACCCGGAAAACGATCATCTATGAAAAATGATGAGTCCTAATTGCGAATTCCACGCAAACGGAGCTGCGGGCAACAACTTTTCTATAGTTTAGGAAATATCGTTGTACTCTATAAAATTTTCTTGCCAATAACAAGACGGACAGCAGTACAATAGCAAGAGATATTTACAACTTAAAGTTGTCGCGTGGCGGTAATCCGCAGACCTTAAATTTCTAAAACAACGGAAGTCCGACCCTGTGCGTACAATTACCTGCTAAATGTTCTCCGACAAATTCGGGGGGACTAGTGTGAGCCATAAATATTTCTTACCACTGTACTACTGTCCGCCTCGTTATTGTCAATAAAATTTTATAGGGTACACCGATATTTCCTAAACTATACATAGTATAAATATAAAAATATTTATATTGCAAACGTTTTTCAATTTTTAATATTGTAAAATTGATACGATTTCAAAGTTATTTTTAATTTAGACTTATCTCAATGTTAATCGAAATTTAAATTTAAAATTAATGATGACAAAAAGCCACGAAATGATACACACAACCAAATTCGGCTACAAACAGGAACAGTGAAAAATAAAAACAAAACTGTTGAACAACCACCACAACCAAAACCAACCGACTAGACTTGGAAAATAAAATTTTTAAGTATGCCGACATGGACTTTTATGGTAAAAACAAACGTGACAAATGTTAGGAAAAACATCTGGGTGTGGTCATACCATTGTCTCGTCAAACTGTTACCCAGATAATGCATCATAAATCTGGTTATTTTTTGTCGGTATTGATCTAAAGGTCCCATCACCCAACCCAAAGGCGCACTTTTTTTCAGTTATTACAGTTTGAAAGTGCCAGGAATTGACTTCTTGGGATCTGTTTTGGTGGTCATAGTGGAATGTTAAAATGTAGCTTTTTCTGAAAAGTTTTCGATGGGCGCCTTGGTCTGTTACTGCTATAATATTTTATTGGTAGTGATTCAATGCAAAACTAATATTAAGTTATTTTAACAGAGTTAATATAAAAACATAGGAGTTGCCCGCCGCCCGGCGCCCTTTGTCACGGGCGCCCCGATGCGGTGCATCTTTCGCTTACCGTGTTAAGCCGGCCCTGGGTTGCGCAGTAACTCTGTGAAAATAAATGCTATGCGATGAACAGTCTCATCTTTGTTGGTTTGTCTATGGTTTAGACTGAGTGTGGATTTGTCTCATGTCCAAGCAGAAATCGATACAGTACCGTTATCCGTTTTTACGTACTCGCTTGCTGTTTTGCTTTTCAGCGTTAAGTTTGGGGTTTGGAACGAAATCGTAATCAACTTTACGGGCAAAACAAGTAATATGGGAATGACTCATAATGTGAAATGAATAAAAAAGAAACTTAACAATTTTGATGAATCTGAAATTAAAAAAAAAAAACAACTGTAATTTGTGCAACTTTTTTTGTTATAGATGTTACAAATACTTTTGATTTTTGTTTTTTAACAAAGATTGAGTTTCAAATTATTAGATTTGAAATTTTACAAATTTAAATTTCAAATAGATTTGTTGCTCGATAAACAAATAATATAATTTTTTACTAAACAGTAACAATTTTGTTTAATTTTTTCTCGGGAATGATGAACTTATTTTCGTTAAAATTTTAGTGAACAAGATTTATAATGCTGCATACCAGTAAAAGAGTTCACAATTTTTTGTAGTATTCTTATTGGTAGAAACGATATTTCTACATCAATAATCATAGATAACAGATACTGTCTCGTCCCCAACTCCATACTTATTTATTGTTTAGCTTAAGTTTATCGTTTGGTGCAGTACTGCGCCCGCAACCCTCGCTACACTGGTGGCCGGTCTATTGCGGCCCTTTTTCTTTTGGTGTCCACTTGTGTAGCAACCAGTCGAGTGGACTGGACGCGTTTTCGAGTTGACGTAGTCGTACCGGCAACGACATAACCCGCCATATTGTTCCCGCTATCGCTGATCCCGCTATTATTATTCCCGCCATTGTTGAACCCGCTATTGTGGAACCGCTACAACCTGCAAAAGTGCATGATCCCTATTACGCGCACCCCTTCCGAGTGCTTTCTCCAGGAGCACCCCAGCCATCACCTCCAGGGCAAGATCACTCAGGACGCACAGCTCGGTAAGTCCATCTTATCTCTCTCTGGTAAGCTACATAAGCATTTTATGGTCCTTCGAGTTAGCCGGATTAGCGAGGGTTGTGTTAGAAGTGATTATGTTTTTGCGCGTTGGTTTTTCTGCTAATCTGACATTGTCGGGTTTGTATTTGGATCATGGCTAATTCGGAAAAAATTAAAAAGCAGCAATTGCTCAGACAAACCCCTTACAATAGAGTAAACTAAATGAATACCTTAGCAAAACAGGCCGAACATAACCTAGATGACCGTGATAGTTTCGCCGTAGCAATCGGTGAGCTTGAAAAACTGTGCGCGGATTTTTATCGTTATCACAACGCGATCATCGGCTTGATAAACGCAGAGGCTTTTAATGGGGAAGATGATATTCGAAAAGTCTTCGACTCCATGGTTCTAGCGATTAAGACCATTCATTTTAAAGTTCAAAAGGCAGCCGAGACCAGTGAGCCCCCTTCGGTTGCTTCCGCCCTTAAATCTAATATCAAGTTACCCAAAGTGGAGTTACCTAGCTTTTCTGGTGATATTACGACATTTGTTCCTTTTATGGATATGTTTAATAATCTGATTCATAAATCGAGCGATTTAACCGCCGTAGAAAAATTTAATTATTTGCTTTCCGCGTTGAAAGGGGAAGCTAGAGCGCTAATAGAAAATCTGCCAGTCACGGATAGTAACTATTTAACAGCATACTCCGCACTCCATAATCGTTACAAAAATGATAGACAAATATTGCAAGCGCATTGGATTGCGATTGATAACGCACCGAAGATTCATTCGGAGCATCCGCAGGAATTGCGAACACTTATAGACACGTTCTCAACTCATTTGAAAGCTATTCGTAATTTTACATTTCCTATAGATCTAGCGGATTTTGTATTATTCAATGTAATGCTTCAAAAGCTAGACTCGTCATTGATAACGCGATTCGAACTTCACCACAACTCGAAAGAAATTCCCACTTATCATAAACTGTATCAGTTTTTAGAACACCAATGGAGCGCGTTAGGCAATGCCATCCCAGTTAAACCTCAACAGAAAAAGTTAGGTCCACATAAGCCTTTTACGCCACAACCGCGATTTACCACGTCTTTAGTGGCTAAGTCAGAGTCTCTAAAGTGTCCTGTTTGTACCTCGCCTCATGTAATCTACAAATGTCTGGAGTTTCTCGGGAAATCTGCCCGTGAACGCGACGCCATTTCTAAGTCGAAACACTTGTGCCTCAATTGTCTTAGTAATTGTCATGTGAGTAAGGCGTGTCAGTCTACTCACAGTTGTCGTCACTGCGGTAAGGGGCATCATAGTCTATTACATTTCGAAGCGATTCCGAGCGGCGATTGTCAGGTGCCAAATTCTGCGGAAGCTACCTCCATCAAACCAATGAGTGGAGTTGGGTTTGCATCGCCAGCAATGGGATTTTTATTGGCTGCCGCTTTAATAGAAGTTCGCAATAACAGCGGAAATTCTAAGGTTCTTAGAGCGCTGCTGGACTGTGGCTCACAAAGTTCCTTCATTTCGCAACAAGCCTTCCAATCGTTAGGTCTGTCTAGACGAAATACTTCAGGCCTGGTGCAAGGTTTGGGTCAGGTAGTTACGGCAGCCAATTTAGGTTCAGTGATAATAACGTTTCGACCGGTAGGCCAGTTAACACTCACTTTCAAGGTAAATGCGCTAATTTTACCCAAGATCTGTGAAGACTTGCCCTGTGCGTCAATTTCGGCCGAACATTGGTCTCATTTTCGTGTCAAGCTACCGCTCGCAGATCCTTCCTGTGTATCTGGTGCAGGTATCGATATGCTTCTAGGAGCGGATGTCTATTCACAACTGCTTAGTGGAGAGGTGGTTAAGGGTCAGAAGGGAGAACCAGATGCGCTAGGTACAGCCTTGGGCCATGTATTAGTTGGGCAACATACCGCTAGTACTGCTAATACGAATCTTCATTCCTTTATTACCACGGTTAACACATGTTGCGAATTAGAAAGATCTATTCAGAAATTGTGGGAAGTGGAAGCAGTTCCTCGCTTACAGACTTTGTCTCCAGATGAGGAACTCTGCGAGGACATTTACAATAAAACTTACACTCGCACCGACAAAGGTCGGTTCGTCGTATCTTTACCGTTTCGCGATACACCGCCCACGTTCAAAGACAGCCGGTCAATCGCAATCAATCGGTTCCTTCATCTGGAGGCCAAACTGTTAAAGCAACCACAGTTGTATGCGCAGTATTCTAAGTTCATGCAAGAATATTTAGAGTTTAATCATATGGAACCTGTTCTTCATCCAGATGATACCATTGCCACTTATTATATCCCACACCATTGTGTACTTAAGCCAGCCAGTTTAAGCACAAAACTGCGCGTTGTGTTCAAGGCGTCCGCACGATCCTCTAATCAAACCTCGTTAAATGAGCATCTTCTTATTGGTTCCAAACTTCAAAGGGACATTTGCACTATCTTATTGAATTTTCGCCTCCATACGTACGTCTTGACTGCCAACATCAAAATGATGTATCGCCAAATCTTAATCAATCCGGTTTAGTGCAATTTTCAGAGGATTATTTGGCGTTTTACTCCTGAACAACCCATTCAGGATAATCGTTTAAAAACCCTGACGTATGGAACCTTTTCCGCTCCCTATCTGGCCATTCGTACTCTGTTAAAATTGAGCGAGCAGGATGGTTCGTCGTTTCCATTAGCCGCTGCCGCCCTCCAGACGGACACGTACATGGACGATATTGTTACTGGTAACAATTCTTATCAACAAACTTTAACGTTGAAACATGAACTTATTGCCCTCCTTAAGGGTGGAGGATTTGAACTTCGCAAATGGGCTACCAATGATAGTTCGCTTGTCTCTGACCTTCCTCCGTCTCATGTTTGCCTTGATGCCGTTAATATACGAGAGGAAGATCGTAATGACACTCTTAGAATCTTGGGATTGCAGTGGAATCCCGTATCCGATGCTTTCAAATTTACAGTTCATATTCTTCCCGGCAAGTGCACTAAACGCCATCTTTTATCCAGTCTCGCACGCATTTTTGATCCTCTTGGCATATTGACGCCGCTTACTTTTTTCATAAAACATTTAATTCAACGCATCTGGAGTCTCAAGTTAGCTTGGGACGACGCCCCGCCGAATGATATTTTACGCGTTTGGAATATCTTCGCTAGGGATCTTTCCGTTCTAAACGATTTTTCGTTACCGCGCCGCCTCCTTTGCGATAATTTCCTCTCGTGTGAAATTCATGGTTTCGCTGACAGCTCCGAGAAGGGCTATGCCGCCGTAGTTTATTTGGTTTTTACGTTCGCCTCGCTTGAACCACGCACGCAGTTTGTTTGTGCTAAATCCAAAGTAGCACCGCTCAAGAAGATTACGATTCCAAGGCTGGAACTTTCTGCCGCAGTATTGCTAACACGGCTCCTCAATCTGGTTTGCCGAATTTACAAAGACAAAATTCCTTTTAATCGCCTATGTGCTTGGACAGACTCCCAGATAGTTCTAGCTTGGATCAAATCTTCGCCGCATCGTTGGAAGACATTTGTCTCCAATCGCGTCTCGTTTATTCAAGAGCATCTGCTCTCCTCGTCGTGGTACTATGTTCCTTCCGGTCAGAATCCAGCTGATCTTGGGTCTAGAGGGGCATACCCTCAGGAGTTACTGGTTAGTTCCCTATGGTGGGCGGGACCCTCCTTTTTGAAGTTCGGCACGCCCCTCAATAATATGACGCCTTCTGTCCCTGTCTCCATTCAGGACGAAGAACGCACGCAATCGTGTAATGCGATAGTGACCACCTCTTTATTGGACGACTTAGTCAATACGCACTCATCTCTGCCGAAGATTATTCGCATTCTTTGTTATGTACGCCGATTTATCCGTGGAATGACTAGACCTACTGAAAGCACCCCCCCGTATATCACTTCATCGGAATGGTCCGAAGCCTTGATGACGGTGGTTCGACATATACAAGCTTTACATTTTTCTAGGGAAATTGACTTCCTTAAGCGTGGAAAACCGCTACCGAAGGGTTTTCAAAATCTCTCCCCCTTCTTAGACGATCAAAAGATTCTTCGAGTCGGCGGTAGATTACGACAGGGTTTATTACCCTACTCGAAACGCTTTCCCGCTTTGTCTGGGCATCGTTTCACCTCTATGCTCATAGAATACACGCATCGCAAATATCTCCACGCTGGACATCAGACGGTTCATTACCTTCTCGGTAACCAATTTTGGATTATGTCCGCCAAACGCGCGATAAGACGGGTGATGTCTAAGTGTCTAAGATGTTTCCGTACCCAACCGGTATCCACTCAACCACGCATGGGGGATTTGCCTCCTTCTCGTTTTCTCAAATTAAACCCTTTCTACGAGTTGGGGTGGACTACGCCGGACCCTTTTCTATTACCATGGCCAAAACACGCGGTGCTAAAACGCTAAAAGCGTATTTATGTCTATTCATATGTTTTGCGACGAAAGCTCTACATTTGGAGCTCGTCTCAGATTTAACCGCCGACGCCTTCCTAGCGGCGTTACGACCCTTTCTTGCGCGGCGAGGGAGGTGCCAGCATATCTATTCCGATTGCGGTACTAATTTTATTAGTGCCCACAGATAATTAGATAAATATATGCGCGAAGCTGTACAGTCGGAACAGATTCATTGGCATTTCAATCCGCCATCAACTCCACACTTTGGTGGTTTGTGGAAGGCCGGCGTCAAATCGGTAAAGACCCACCTAGTCCGTGTCATAGGCCACCAAATCTTAACCTACGAAGAGCTCTTCACTTTAGTCTCTCAGGTCGAAGCAATGCTGAATTCCCGTCCGCTTCATCCTGTAAGCAGCGACCCAAACGACTTGACCGCACTGACTCCCGGCCATTTTCTTACGTTTTCCCCTTTAATTGCACTCCCAGAACCGGACCTTGCAGACATGCCGGTGAACCGCTTAACTCGCTGGCAGCTAGTTCAAAGCTTTGTCAAATGTATTTGGTCGCGATGGAGTGCCGAATATCTCCATACATTGCATCAGCGGTCGAAATGGTCTGCCGAGAGACCTAATTCTATCGCGGTCGGATCCCTTGTCCTTATTAAAAACGAGTTGATACCCCCTCTGCAGTGGCGACTAGCCCTAGTCCTACTTCTCCATCCCGGACAAGATGGCATAGTTCGGGTTGTCACCTTAAAAACCGCCGGTGGAGTCCTAAAGCGCCCAGTGGCCAAACTTTGTCCACTCCCTGCAACTTTGCAGTAAAAAAAAATCCCTTTTTTTTTTTGGTGGGCGGAATGTCTCGTCCCCAACTCCATACTTATTTATTGTTTAGCTTAAGTTTATCGTTTGGTCCAGTACTGCGCCCGCAACCCTCGCTACACTGGTGGCCGGTCTATTGCGGCCCTTTTTCTTTTGGTGTCCGCTTGTGTAGCAACCAGTCGAGTGGACTGGACGCGTTTTCGAGTTGTCGCAGTCGTACCGGCAACGACATAACCCGCCATATTATTGTTCCCGCTATCGCTGATTCCGCTATTATTATTCCCGCCATTGTTGAACCCGCTATTGTGGAACCGCTACAACCTGCAAAAATGCAGGATCCCTATTACGCGCACCCCTTCCGAGTGCTTTCTCCAGGAGCACCCCAGCCATCACCTCCAGGCCAAGATCACTCAGGACGCATAGCTCGGTAAGTCCATCTTATCTCTCTCTGGTAAGCTACAGATACATTTTTAATTTTTTAAATTAAAATGTAAAAGTATATGAAAATTAAAATTTCCAAGCAAAATCCACTTAAATATTCATGATTTACTACTGGAACGTTTACAAAAATCAGCTTTTGACATAAAATGCTTCCAAATTTTGAAACAGAATTGGAATGTTTCTTGACAATCATGCCTAATACGTTTTTGACTTGTATCTTTTAAAAATAAGGATTTCCGAATTTATAGCTATTTACAGTTTACGACTTATTGTTGATTTTTTTTTACATCTCTAGCATAAGCTAAGGAAATATTGTAATCAAGTTCATCGGGCGACTGGCTACTTTTATGGCTTCTCAACGTTTCATGACCCCCATAATGCGAAAACTTAGGTCTCTCGTTTCCGGTTGATAAAACGCTGACCAACATTTGCAATCATCCTCACTATCATATAACGTCATCTTCAACTTTTACAACAGTAAATGTTATATAAATTTGATAAAATAACATACATTTTTATTTGTTGTTTATTGACTTTTTACCCTAAGCATCCAGATTGAATTACCATAACCCTAATTTTATGAGATTTTGGAAACAGGATGTACTACTACATAAAGAAATTTAACAAAATTTGAAGTAATGTAATGATACTCTTTTTACATCAAATTACACCAATTGGGCATCGGCCACAATACTGTTCATAAATTATAAATGCAGGAAGTTTATGCAAAAGCATGCAAATACATTTTTTGCGTATAATATGTATTGCTTTATTATTAAATATCTACTCATTTACAAGAGTTATTAAAAACAGTAAAAAAAGTATTCAAGTCTCTGTCCAGTTTAATACCTTACCTTGTTAGAGGTAGGCAACCAAATATCATGTTAAAGTTAATAATGTGAACCACTAGAGGTCGCTAATGTAAGTGTTGTTATTTAGTAATTTTTGTTTTTTAATGTTTTTATAGAATAAAAACTAGATAATCATAATAGGTTATGAGCCCCAGCCACGTTTTAGTTTACGCCGAAGTTTGTTTGTAAAAATAAGAAGAGTTTTTACATAGTATCGTTGAAATCAATTGAGAGAAATGGATTTAACGAAGCATATCAAGCCACTAGTAGGTGAAGCAGACTGGCCGATCTGGAAAAGAAAAATTAGAGACTTGCTGGATTATCACGAAGGTACTTTAGATATAATTGACAACAAACTAGAGAAGCCAAGGGCTCTACCACAGAGCGCCACGGAAGCGCAAATCAAAGAGCACAAAGAGAAGAGTGATTTGTATCGTAAGGCCAACAGTTACGCTAAGTCAATTATTACAAGCACAGTTACTGATGCAGTCTACCATAAAATCATGGACAAAGAGACCGCCCATGACGCCTGGGAGGCGTTGAAGCAGCAGTTTGAGGCGACGTCCAAGGATCAGTTATTCAAAATCTGCACAGACTTTTTCACATTCAGTTGGACGCCAAACGAAGACGTGTCTACGCACATTGCAAAGCTAAAAAGTTTGTGGAACGAGTTAAACAACGGACTCGCAGCTAAAAACGAGAATCCGCTGCCAGATTTAATGCTAGTATGCAAAACCTTGCATATTTTGCCAAAGAGCTTTGAATCTTTTCGATCCAGTTGGATGCTGTTAACTAAAGATGAAGCAAGAACGTTCGACGAGTTAACCATGCAACTGTGCATGTTTGAAAGAAATTTCAGAAGAAGTGAAGACACCGAAAAGTTCGTTCAAGAGGCGTTAGTGGTGAAATCAGATAGACAGAGACAAGGGAGCCAAACTAAAACAAATAATAAGTGGTCAAGAAAAGAAGACAAATGTAATTACTGCAAAAAGAGAGGACATTGGGTTCGTGATTGCAAGAAATGGATTTCTGATGGACGACCAGCGAAAAATAAGACAGAAGGTGACGCTCAGACTAGCGCATGTAATACTCAAGTAGCTCTTTTCTCTATTTGCAACGAAGTTTGCGCAGCTGAGGCAAATATCACAGATTGGTGGGTTGACAATGGAGCAACAAGACATGTTACAAATCGTTCAGAATTGTTTGTTGAGTTTAAAGAATTTGAGAACCCATGCAGCATAAAGGCTGCTGGAAACGAGAAACTACAAGCTCTTGGAAAGGGGACAATTGAAATTTTATCAGAAGTAAAAGGCAGAAACCTGAAGATGACGTTAAAAGACGTATGGTATGTTCCAGAAATTTCAAGAAACCTATTCTCTGTTTTAGCAGCTCAAGACAGAAATCCAAGCAGCGAGTTTAAGTCGACAGCTACCAAGTGCAGTCTGGAAGTTGATGGTAAAGTAATACTATGTGGAGATCGTAAAGTATATGGAACATTGTATAAGGCAGCCATCAAACCAATTATTCCTGAAAGTGACACAAAAGTAAATGTTGCTGTTGCAGATAGCTCAATGCTACAGCTTTATCATGAAAGGTGGGGACATCAAGATAAACGTCACGTCAAAGAAATGCTTGAGAAAGAAGTAGGCATCAAAGTTAAATTAGACAAAGAACTCTGTGAACCATGTATCTATGGCAAAGCACATCGACTGCCATTTGGTACAAGAAAGAGGGCCACACAGCCTGGAGAGTTGATGTCAGCTGATGTATGTGGACCGTTTGATGAATCCTTTACCAAGAAGCGATATTTGGTAGTGTTTAGAGACAGCTACACAAAGTTCCGGTATGGTTTCATTCTCAGTCAGAAATCGGAAGTCAAGAATGTGCTTAAACAGATGCTAGCACATGCAAAAGCGCAAGGCCATTCAATTAAAGAGCTGCTCTGCGATAATGGCGGCGAATTTGACAATGTAGAAGTCAGAGAAACTCTACAAAACAACGGAATCACACTAAGATTGACAGCACCATACACACCTGAACAAAATGGTGGAAGTGAGCGTGAAAATCGCACAATAGTCGAGATGGCAAGGACTTTCAAGTATTCCAATCCAAACGTGAAATTTCCGGAGGCAATTTGGGCGGAGTTGGTAAATACGGCAATCTATGTTCTGAATAGAACTGGAAAATCGTCAAAAGAAGGAGTTTGTCCGTATGAGCTATGGATGGGTAAGAAACCACGAATAAAACATCTGCGTATAATCGCTTCTACATGCTTTATTCATGTCCCAGCTGAGAAAAGAAGGAAAATGGACGAGAAAGCTGTAAAAGGATATCTGGTGGGTTACGACGGTGACGAGCGCTACAGAATATATCTAGAAGAAGGGCATAAAGTTGTGTTATCCAGAGATGTAAGATTTCAAGAGAAACTTACAGATTGTGAAGAAAAAGTCAGGGTACCATTCCAACACATTGAGTTTAAAAAAGGGCATGCTATCGAAAATACAGAACGAAAAGAGGTAGAAGACGATAGTGAAGAAGGTTTTATAAAAGAAGAAAATAGCAACGACGAATATGAAACCGAGGCTGAGACGGACGTTGAATTTGAAGATGAAGAAGGAAAGAAAAGTCAACAGTCGACAGGGCGATATTTAAGAGATCGTTCGACTCTCGAAAAACCAAAGCACCTTCAAGACTTCGTCATGACAGCAGAGAAATTTGTTATTGGAATCGAAAATCCCGAAACTTTTGAAGAGGCTCTTGACAGCAAAGAGAGTAGTAAGTGGCGAGAAGCCATGGACAGAGAAATTGCTGCATTGAAAGAAAACCAGACATGGAAACTGATACCACTACCAAAGGGTGCCAAAGCAATTCCGTGTAAATGGGTTTTTCGTTTAAAGACAAATCCAGATAGTACCATTGACAAATATAAGGCAAGACTAGTTGTCAAAGGTTTTGGTCAGTGTTATGGCATCGACTACAGTCAAACTTTCAGTCCTGTAGCAAAGTTAGGAACGATTCGTTCAATCCTGAGTGTTGCTGCAACAGAGCAGATGGAACTTGTACAGTTTGATGTGTCTACAGCCTTTCTTTATGGAGAACTTGAAGAAACTATCTACATGGAACAACCAGAAGGATATGAAGACGGCACAACCAGGGTCTGTGAACTTAAGAAGAGTTTGTATGGGCTCAAACAAGCTCCAAGATGTTGGAACAAACGTTTTGGAACTTTCCTTTCAAAATTAGGATTCATGGTCAGTGAAGCCGATCCGTGTTTGTACGTTCGAGAGAAAAACGGCAAAAAGCTCATTTTAGTTGTGTATGTAGACGACGGGTTGGTTGCAGCAACAGACTCACAAGACTTGGAAGATTTTCTTGAAGAGCTTAAATCAGAATTCAAGATTGTCTCAAAGAAAGCTAAGTATTTTTTGGGTTTTGAAATTGAAAAGGAAAGTGGCAACATTAAGATAAGTCAAAAGAGCTATGCAAAGAAGATCCTTGAACGCTTTGGCTTTCTAGAATGTAAGCCGGTTTCAACACCAATGTTGAAGAGTCCAGAAACATCGCAAACAGGGAAAGATGATGTCAAGAAGCACAATTTTCCATATAGGCAAGCAGTAGGCGCTTTGATGTATCTAATGCTTGGTACAAGACCAGACTTGGCTTATAGTGTAGGATTCCTGTCAAGGTCACTGGAAAATCCCTCCACAGACGACGTAGCACGAGTTAAACGAGTATTCCGATATATTGCAGAAACTATCGACCTGGGAATAGTTTACAGCCATAAAACAGAAACAGGCAAGTTAGAGTGTTACAGTGATGCAGATTTTGGAGGATGCACAAAAACCGGTCGATCAACTTCAGGAGTAGTTGTTAAATATGGAGGTGGAGCAATTACATGGCTTAGTCAGAGACAGGCACTTGTGGCTACTTCAACAACTGAGGCAGAGATTGTAGCAGCCAACGAAGCAACCAAAGAAGTTATTTGGTTGAGCAGATTATTCAATGAAATTTCAAGGTTGAAAAATGTTCCCATTCTTCAAGTTGACAACTCTGCAGCGGTGAGACTAGCCCAAAATCCAGAGTTTCATCGCAGAACAAAACACATAGCCATCAAGCACTTCTTCATTCGAGAAAAAGTGATTGAAGGAAATTTAGGAATTCAGCAAATATCAACTGAAAAACAGCTTGCAGACATAATGACCAAGCCGTTACCCAGAACACGATTAAGAATACTTTGTGATCAGATGGGACTCAATTAGATAGGTTTTCGTTTTATTTTTGTTAAGAATTCATAGAATGAGGTTATGTTTCAAAGAGATTAATTTTAAAATGATAAGGGAAAGTGTTAGAGGTAGGCAACCAAATATCATGTTAAAGTTAATAATGTGAACCACTAGAGGTCGCTAATGTAAGTGTTGTTATTTAGTAATTTTTGTTTTTTAATGTTTTTATAGAATAAAAACTAGATAATCATAATATACCTTACTAAAATAATAAGTTTAATGTATTATGTAGTTAGCAAACAATGACGTTTAATTTATGCCAAGGTTCACGGCATCTACTTTTCACATTGCATGTTTAATTCGGACTTATAATTTGAGAATATAATTTAGCCGTTTATTTATTTTTGTAGTTTAGTAGTACTTGGCAATTTCAGAAAACTGTATGTTATTTAAAAATACGTGACAAATCACGAGGCCAGGCAATCTAGAGATTTGACTGCTTCGGTGCTCCATGGTTTCCGCGGGAAATACTGCATACATTTTAGGTAAAAGGAGTCTATGATAAGTTGACAAGCGCACGTAGGAGATGATAGACAGAAAGCTAATACATAGAGCTAATGTATTGGAAAGAAATAGGACAAGTTTACGTGCGCACACCACAGCCTCCCTTTCTCTGAACAGCTTGGGATCATACCATGGTACCATAAATAATAATTGACAAAGAGTTCGCAAAGGAATCCAAGGGAAATATTTATACAATTGTTTACTACCAGTAAAAATAAATATTTTATTTTCTACTGAAAAGCGTATAACTATATTAAGTACTAGATATTATGGAGTTAGGGGTAATCAAATAGATTTGAAATTTGGTACTCGGTATTTCGTTCACAATTCACCACTTAACAATAG